CATCATAATTGGCAAATTACGATTGATGATTATGTAAGTTTTATTCAAAATGTAACATTTGAAATTGATTAATGAACCAATTTTTTGTTGTTGTTCTTTTTTCAAAAGTTTTATGAAACAAAAAAATTTTGCTGTTTCATTTGGGAAACGTTGGATTGTGAATTGAATGTAGCGAGAGAATGTAATGAACAATATTCGACAAAATTAGAATCAAATACACGAGATACATTTAAAAAAGTATGTGATCAAATTGTTGGTTCTAATTATGGTTCGGATTGTTGGTGGACAGAAGAAAGAAAAATTACTTTTGGTATTTTAGCTGGATTCCTTATTTTGGCTTTTATTTTGATCTTTGCATGCCTTGGATATCACATTTATGAGCAAAGGTAAGTGTTATTTCTGGAATATTTGAAAAAAACTATTTGACAATGTGTTTTTTTATCACAACAAACAAACCAATTTTTAGTAAACTTGATAAATCACCAAACTATCCAGAATTTAAAGGAAATGTTCCATTAATAATTGTAACGCCACCAACACCACCATCATCACCACCACCAACACCACCACCATCAACACCACCATCACCATCATTATTATCGGCTACTTTCAACTATGCTATTGATGATTTGCTAATGTAGCAAAAAATATTTCCGAAATGATACAAACAATCAATATTCAAAATACAAAATTTCTATAAATTTTTACAATATTAACAAAGTGTGTTAACCGAATTACTAAATAATAATAATAATAAATAATTACAAATTATAAAAATTTAACAAGAATAGTTTGAATTTTAGTATGAATTTGACTAAAAATTTATCAATATTTTGTGTAAATTATTATTTTTTTGTTTTTAAAAAGTTATGATTAAATTGGATAATCATAACAAACGGCTATTTTCACACTTGTTGATGATTGTTGTTATCATCATCACTATGAATAATGTTTGGATGGCCAATAGTGATAATTCATTTATTTTGCATGGTAGTATTAATAATCAAACTGAATGGGATACGGTACGATATCCATATAAATCAGTTTATGGATTACCAAATTCATTGAATTGTAGNATCACATCATAATTGGCAAATTAAGGTTGATGATTATGTAAGTTTTATTCAAAATGTAACATTTGAAATTGATTAATGAACCAATTTTTTTGTTGTTGTTCTTTTTTCGAAAGTTTTATGAAACAAAAAAATTTTGCTGTTTCATTTGGGAAACGATGGATTGCGAATTGATTGTAGCGACAGAATGTAATGAACAATATTCAAAAAAATTAGAATCAAATACACGAGATACATTTGAAAAAGTATGTGATCCAATTGTTGGTTCTAATTATGGTTGGTCATGTTGGAACCAGCAAGAAAGTGATAGTTGGTATTATGTTGGTATTATAATCGGAATTTTAATTCTTATAATTATCGGTGCATGCCTTGTATATCGAATCTACAGCTACACGTAAGTGTTATTTTGTTTTTGTTTTGTTTTTTTTTGCTTTGACAATGTGTTCTTTGACCCCAACAAGCAAACCATTACGTATTGATGAACCAATTTTCAGTATGTTGGGCAAGCAAGAGATTATAGAATTTATGAAAAAATAGAAGAAAAATTGAATTTTCCAATTCAACCGGAAATGTTGGATGATTTTTTTTTCTATACCAAAAGTTCCATTGATAATTGTAACACCACCAACACCACCACCACCATTATTATCAACAACAATACAACTACCGGCTACTTTCAACAACGGTATTGATCAAACTAATATAACAAATAATATTTCCCAAATGATATCAACAATCAATATTCAAAATACAAAATTTCTATTAATTTTTTTCAATATAAACAATATGTGTTAACCGAATTATTAAATAATAATAATAATAAATAATTACAAATCACTAAATAATGTTACAAATACAATTCTATTATGAATTTAGAAAACAACAATGAAAATGAACAAAAAAAATTAAACGATATAGAAACAATTACAATAGAATAAACAATAACAACAATGGAATTGAATTTTATTTAAAATGCCAACCAGATTCTAACAGATTTTCTATTCTAGAGTTACGAGTTTTTATTATTGAAATTTTTATCAGTGAAAAAAAATTTATTACTGATTTATTACTGATTTAGTATTACTGAAACGATTAAAATTTTGTCATAATGAGTTCTGCAGCAGTACAATATGGTATTGGAGCTTTTTTTGTTACTTTGTTGGGGATATGTTTTTACTATGTATTTAGAAAATCGTTATTGAAATCTGCTAACAAAGAAGAAATTGTGACTGATGGAACAATGATAGAAGCATCACCAACAACAACGACAGAAGTTAATGCAGATAAACCAGGAGTGATGATAGTTAAACCGATGACGGATACATCACCAGCAATAGCAAAACCAATGATGGCAGATAGGATGGCGAAACTATCTCAAGTAGTAACAGCAGCATCAGCAAAAATGTTGCCAGATTCTACCACTATTGCTTATAAAGTATAAAATTATTTATTTATTTATTTATTGATCAAATGCACACTGCCCTAAGGCATTTGTGCAATAATAAAATTAACAAAATTATGAAAAAGTATAAAATTATTTGATAATTTCAATAAAACTTATTGCTGATAAATTGATTTAGTAATTTTTGTTTCTTAATATGTGATGAAATCTATTTCGATTCAAACTAGATTTCACCGAATTTCACCGAAGATTATAGAATTTATGAAAAAATAGAAGAAAAATTGAATTTTCTTTAATTCAACCGGAAATGTTGGATGATTTTTTTTCTATACCAAATGCAAAATTTCTATAAATTTTTTCAATATAAACAATATGTGTTAACCGAATTAATAAATAATAATAATAATAATAAATAATTACAAATTATAAAAATTTAACAAGAATAGTTTGAATTTTAGTATGAATTTGACTAAAAATTTATCAATATTTTGTGTAAATTATTATTTTTTTGTTTTTAAAAAGTTATGATTAAATTGGATAATCATAACAAACGGCTATTTTCACACTTGTTGATGATTGTTGTTATCATCATCACTATGAATAATGTTTG